ACGATATACGAACGAGGAAATATTTCATATGTGCAAGTTTGATTAAAATAGAAATTTTTTCCTTCGCGTAATTTAATTGATCGTAATCGTAGAAGAGAAAATATTTCTCATTCGTGGAATAAAAAGTGAATCTGTGTTTTTATTCTTAATTAAAACAAATATTAATCATCAATTTTATTTCCGTAATATTTTGTAATGTATCAGTTGATTTATCGCGTGTTATAAATCGTTGAAAAATCTATTCACGAAACAAGCGAGAAACTAAACTAAGCGAAAATTAGACGTCTCTCCAAGCATCGAAATAAGATTTCATCCGGCGCCATTTATGAAAAGCATGCAGCTCATCTACGCCGCGATTCACACGCGTGGAATTTCAATGGAATCCGTTCACCGAAGTGATACCATTACTGGAATTACACTGGTCAGAATAGGCAGAAAAGCTTCACTCTCTATATTGACGATCTAATAAACAAACGTCTCTCTGATTTTTTTTTTTTTTTTTTTCGTGTTCGCGATATTTCAATTCAGAAAACGAACTTTCGATTCCGAATATATTTTACATCACACTTAACCCTATAATAATATAATTCTACACTGTCATTTTAAATATTACGCATAATTTTGACTCGTTTCTGATCTTTACCAGTCGACGCCTACCAATTTTACGCTTTTGAAACGAATATCAAAGAAGGGAGGAACACTGGTATCTCACGTTTGTGTTCGTTCTTCAGAATTTCCCTTCAGACAGGATCTAATTAAGCTATTCACGAACCATACGAAACTACCTTTTAGAATCAGAACTACGTTTCCGCTAATTAACTAGCCATCGATCGTACAGTTCCATTCTCGAATAGCCAATTTCCAGGAAGCGAAATCTAATCCAAACTGGTCGTTAAAATTCGTTGCAGTGACAAAAAGGATCTCTCTATTCGTCACTTCGTCTCTCCGCGAAGGGGGAGGGGGGGAGAGAGGGAGAGAGAGAGAGAGAGAGAGAGAGAGAGAGAGAGAGAGAGAGAGAGAGAGAGAGAGAGAAGATTTCGATTCGAAACCTATCACTGCCCATTGTAAATCGTGCGCGTTTTTCATTCTCCGGCCCGTTTCAAGTCCACGGATTCGAGCCCATTGTTCGAGCCTACAGCAGTCGCGTATCGATCACCGATTCACGATAGTTTGGCGAATCGAGATCGGTGTCGAAATCGGCGGGAATGCCAGGATTGAAAATCGAGAATGGAATCCATGGAATTTGGACGGGAGAAAAGACCGTCTGTGATGTTGGTTCCTTTTGTCGAGCGGAACGAGGCGAGTAGAAAGCGAGATGCGGTTGCAACGTGGAATGGGGCAGTAGGATTCCGCGAGAAGTGGAATTTATCGAGTGTTATGGAAACAATCGAACGTTCGTTAGATACCCTCCAATCTCTGATTTGTAGAGCGTATTATAAGTATAACCAGCTGAGTGTATTCTCTCGACCTCGTTAGTAGAGCATCAAGATATTTTGAAAATGTAAAATACTTTCAGATATCTTCATTGCACTGTTTCAAATTATTACCCTTTAATACGATCTTTTCGTATCTTTTCATCGATATAACCGAATATAACATGTTAGATCTTGGATTTATAATTTTTATATTTTCGTTTTATATCGATATCGAAAGGATTATTTAAATCCGTTGAAACAAATAAATAAATATTTTTCGATTCTAAGAAATGCTTCGCGAAATTCCATTGAAATTGGCGCGCAACGCTCCGCAGGAATCCTCCCAGCCTCCCTTGAGAACGTTTCCGCAATTTGTCGATTTCGATGCGAATAAATTATAATTACGAGCGCGCAATTTAATATATCGGATTGGCGAGATGTCTGTTTGAACTGTATAGAATCATGTAAATATTAATTTGCGATTCGATTGTGCGGACAGAACGCGGAAATTATCAATGTTCGCCGATTATTAATAATCGATGATCACAAATAACTGCAATTTCATCTAGCGACGTGGTATATTGTCATAACGTTTCGGGGAATTAAACTCGTGCGATTAAATTTAAAATTCCTAGATAGCAAAGATATTAATGCGAAATGAGCACGAAAATAAAAAGAATGGAATATTTTATCTCGAAACTTCGGTTGAATAAGCTTTATGACGTAGATAAGAAGTAAAATGATGCGAAACAATCGATGACAAAGTAGATATCTCTACATGTATAATTTTGAAGTCAGAATAACGTCTGTAGTATATCCTTTATTATTTTTTATATGTTTGATTGAACGCATTTTTCAAATTTTATTTTCAATCATAAAATTTTCAATCGAGCTATCGTAGTTATTTGTCGTTATTTGTGTTTCCGCATATAGTGTATTATGAGAGTTGTAATCTCGCATCATTGCGCCATTGAGTAGAGCAATTTGCGTTATCGTAGACTTCCCTTGTGATAAAGAATTCAATCAACGGAAACAATGATTATCGAGAAACGTAGTTATCGAACGACGAAAAATTATCTTAAAATTCTGATCGGTAATTTAAAACTATACGAAAGGCGAAAAGAATTTGAATTAAAATAAACGAAAGGTTTTTAAAATATAAAAAGATTTACTTCTTTCGAGGACAGTTTTTAATGATGCTCACAAAGCTATCGAAACGTCGGCGGAACCGGAAACGTTTTGCGTGTAGAGGCACACTTAATTTGACCGGTCCGCCGCGAAATTAGTATGCGACGCGACATGCCGCGACGTTGTCCGCGTTCGACCGGTTCGAATTAAAGGAACGAACGATACTGGGCTGAGAAAAGCCACGCAAGATATACACACTCCCACGGTGCTTGGCCATTTTCCCATAAATTCGGTGCAACCGGTTCCGAAAACGTAAAGGTGCTTACGACGCGTGAATGGGACTCTGTATGACCTGCGGCCATTCACCTCATGCGCGATTTGGGGGAAAGCATTACCTTTTATTCGCACGCATTCTACCAAACTGACAAACGTTTTTCCATATCGCTCTATATCTTTCTTTCCTTCGTCCGTTCCTTTCTCCTTTTTTTTCTCTCTTTTCCTTTTTTGGGGCGCGGGATACTCCGTCACTTACGCGTTCCCATAATAGTTACTGGAAGGTTTCTCACGAGATAGTCATAGAATATGTACTAAAAACGAGTTGATGAAAAATTGCGTACTAACCCACGAAAGGAGATTTAAGTGATCCATCAACACTTAGAACGTTAACGCAATATCGCACGATTGTCTAGGTTCGATATTTGTCGACCTCGTTTACCAACGGTTTTTTTTCATTTTTTGCTGAAATATACAGAATTTTAACGGCACGTGGATTACAAATCACAATTTTGATAATCATAATTTCATTCACGAACTTAAGCGTTTTACTATTTCCTTACTTCATAATATATGCTCCGTTTTAGAACGCAATGTATCTAATGTTAAAATACTTGAGAAAATATACTTGATAGATTATTTTCAAATTTAACTTAACCTCTGTTTGAAACTGTAACTAATTCGAACTTCCAATCCACATGCATTGATTTAACTCGTCGATGTTTGTCGCTGATATATAAAATGCGATTGATGATGAAATTCGTATATTCATGATCATTGTGTTGCGTTTAAACAATTGTTTACAACGTCGGCGAAAGAGAAGATTTTTTAATGCAATCATCGCTTGTATTCTCGGAATTCTACCGCGACATTCCATCGAATTGACGCGTGACTGAGGAATCGCCGCAGTCCGATTTTTCTGCATAAAAACATTTTATTTGTCACAAAATTGATAATTATCTTTTGTACGTATTATTTTCTGGTTAAATGTTCGATAATATAACTAACGAAAATGTTATTACACGATTAAATTTAATGTGATCTTACCTAAATGTTTCTTCTGGCGTCGTGGCCCACACCCTCTTCAAGACTAGACCAAATGTCACTCGTAACGCGTACGAACGCACACAGCTTTTCAGCACGACACACTGCTTTACGACACCTACTCGCTTTGCTTTTATTTATTTCGAAAATGTGAAATGTAGAAAGAGACGAGTCGTCAGAAACGTCCTCTGACCGTGATTACTGCACGAATGCTTCGAATACGTCATGTCCTGAGAAGCTAGCGCCGCAATGCGAACTGCTGCACGCTGCCACCTGGTTTACAAAACGTACTAGGGTTTTTCATTTCCACATTTCAGTCATGTTACTAAATAGTAATTTTTTATTCATATTTGGCATTTTATATTTTATCTTTCAGCTCTTCGATAATACGATGCCAATATTCTATCTATATTAAAATTTATTATATTGAATTTATATTTTTTACTTTCTTTTCAAATAAAATTTATATTTTTTATTAAAATTTTATTATACAAATTTATGAATTCGTTATGTCGAATTATTTGCGTCTTGAAAATTATTTTTTATATGTAAACTTTTTTAACAATATTTATTATTATATAATAATATTTTATTTCTTAAATAAAATATTTTATTAATGTATTTATGCATTTTTATTTGATTGTAATACATTGATGAATTTAATTGGATGAGATAAATATTGGCCAATAATAAATTTTTAACGATTTTCTGACCGTTAAATTTAAGAAAAAAATTCATCAAAAAGAAATATAATATTGTTGTCATGAGTACATTTATATTATTACTTCGAAATTTAAAAATCAATAAATAATTATTTATTATTGCACACATTATCTTAGAATAAGCAAAATTTTACATTGAAGTATCCCTGTCTAATATATGAAGACAAGGATTACGTGGATGTAAAACTGGCAGTACACGATTACTTCATTTATTTGTTATTAATATTGTGGTGTGATTTTCCAGTACTATTTTAGCTTGCTTTTTTCTATCGAAAGTTAAAGTAGTTTTATATGAATATAAGTTATTTTTTTTGATAGCAACGAAAGATCACTCTTTATTGTTTTAAACAAATCGACTTGAACACTGTATAATTTTAAAACGGAATTATTGTTTCGATAAAATTTACAATATATATATATATATATATACATATATATATTGTAAATACATATATCCGATCAATTCTTACAAAATATAAAAATATGGCAGATGATAAAAATGAAGATACAAAAGACGATAAATGCAAAGAAAATAAAGATCAACTACAAATGATAGCTGCAGAAGAACGTTTAGAATATTTTAAAAAATTAGAAAAATGGTTACATGAAGCTTATGCTTGGCAGAGTATGGCTGCAATGTTTCCATATTATTTAATGTCTGGACAAATAATAAATCCATCATCTGGTAAGATTATAATTATATTGTTCTTATTTAATTAAAATCTAATTTATAAATTATTATATTATCAATGTAACGAAATTATTCTATAAAATAGAATAATTATAGGTGTACCATCATTCTCGTCACAAGTATCAAATGTAGCAAATACACATAGGTTAATTGTTGGCACAAATGGTCAAGAGAACGATCCATTCCGACAAAGAAGGCCTCAAGATCATGTAGGACCTCCATTCCAACCTCCTGGAGCTGAAGGTAGAAGGTCATAACGATATCTCCTGTGTCCATCACATTCCAACAGAGGTTCAGCTAGTACTATATGTGCTTTTATTACAAAAGTACTGCATTTTATTTAATTATTTTTATAATGTTTAATTGATTTATTTATCTTTGTAGTGATTTTATGATGCAGTATTTTTGAAACATACATTTTCATCTGTATCATTTAATATTATGATTATCTTATTTATTCAAGTTTAAGAAAACAATCTTTTCAGGCTTTGAATATCGTATACCTCCAATATGGAAGAGATTTGCAGCAGAGTTTATAGATTCAACAATGTTGTTTCTTTTGAAGTTTTCCATTACTTTCTTTGCTATTGATGTTTTTGATTTCATGTATGTAAAATAATTTTACCCTCTATAATTTTATTTTTTTTTGACTTATCATTATATTTTATTCTAGAGATATAGATGATCTAGACTTGGTACGGGCAAATTTGAGAATTGATTATAAAATGGCTTTAGAAATGACATATGGTATATTAGTATTAGAAATAATTCATCGTGTTATAGTGTGCATTTTTGAAGTGAGTATGTTATTAATAGAAATATTAAATGATATTTCAATAACAATATTTTTTTCAGGCATTTTGGCTTCAACATGGTGTAAATGGTCGTATTGGTGGTGCAACACCTGGAAAATCCATGATGGGATTAAGAGTTGTTCAATGTCGTAGCGTTACACCTGTTGATAGACCTGATGATCCTGATGTTGTACTTGTTTCTCCAGGAACAGATTTAGGTTTACCATTAGCAATTGGAAGATCAATTGTGAAAAATATGATTTTAGCATTTTTATTTCCTATATGTTTTGCCTTATTTTTCTTCAGATTTAATAGAACTGTTTATGATTTACTTTGTAATTCTATTGTGGTTGAAGATCCTTACAGAAACTTAAATAATAATAGACTTCATCAACAATAAAATATCAAAATATCATTTATATCTATATTGTATATATTGAATGTGTGTACGAGCGTATATAATATGTACATAACATTTAAAATTATTGACTATTGCAATATTATGAAATATTTTTCTAGATGTATTATGAAAGATCCTATAATTTCTGGATATATTTCTGAAACAAATCTACAGGCTGTTCGAGAACAATATTTAATTATCTTGGAATCCATTATATTGAGATTGTACAAATTTTATCTAATACAGTTATTATTAATAAAACATTTTATAATTTATTTTTATGCAGTTTGAATCTAACATAATTATTTTTTAAGCAATATAATTTAAATAATTTATTCATTTTTTGATAATCACATTTTTTTCTTAATTATGTTAGCAACTTATCGATATTTTTTATAATAAAAGATATATATTCCATTTCATATATTTTAAATTTTTCAACGCCATCTACAGGAATATAATTAGAACCTGACAAAACTAGTAACTAACCAATGACGTCACTTCCCAGTTAAACGTGGCTGCCTTGCAAGTGAAGGAAGGAGTGGCTTTTCGATCTGTCAAGTTAAATGATTTCTCGTGACAATTAATGACTCGTTGCATCAATTAAGTTATTCTTGTGTGTTTAGCACTTTTAACTCATTGCGTAATAGTTCTATAATATAAAAAATGTCGTCTTCGGGTGATTTTGGAAACCCGTTGCGTAAATTTAAGCTTGTCTTTCTCGGTGAACAGAGCGGTAAGTATTTTCCACTTATACTTCCGTTGATTTTGGATCAATATTGGCGATGTTCGTGTCGGTTTTGTCTTGTCACTGATTTCTCGCATATCAAATATGAAAATTTCTATCATATACATTGGTTTCAATGACCGTTCTAGGTTATAGATCAATATTTCTAGTCACTGTTCAACTTTATCGTTGCGATCGAATTTGGCGTCATTCTTATTATCACCATCCTAATATTATATTCTGTCCTAATAATATTAATAATTTTATGTACGATTTGTTGTAAAATCCTATCATTTTTATAGAAATATCTACTAACCATAAAAATTCATGATTTATGCATTTAATCGTATCGTTATGTAGTATACTTGTTTCATTTTAAACAACTACAAAATATATTGGTATATCGCGATCATAAAATCTAATCATAATGAAAATATACAAATAATTCTGATTTTATGTAAGAAAAAATAATAATTTTATTATAAATTTATATTTCTATGAATATCTATAATATGATTTTAAATTATATTAATAATTCATTATTATATCTTTACATTCTGAAAAAATATTCTTTGTTTAGTATTTTGTTTTTTTGTAAACAATAGGTAGTAAATTTTTTGCATTAATCGTGTGATTTGATGTTGCAGTTGGAAAAACTTCTCTTATCACACGGTTTATGTATGACAGCTTTGACAACACGTATCAGGTATGAAATTAATGGTTTTGTGATATACATATATTTATGTATATGTACATTTACACATAACTTTGAATGAATATATAAAAGAAAATATAATATTATGTCACAAAGATTAAATTAATTTATCTAATAATATAGATTAAAATATAATATAAATATTAAATATAATAAATTCTCAGCTTTTTTTTTCATCATATAATATATACTTTATTTTGAAATCATCTATATTTCATTGACATACTTTTCAATGACCTTATAATGGTGTCACAATCTTTGCTTTCATTTTATTCATTTCATTCATTTTAATCATCATTTTGATGACAAATATATATTTATTCTATAAAGTATTTAATATTAATTGGCAAGGATAAATGCTAGTAGGACAGATAGTAGGGAGTTCAAGATATTGACTTTTTCTTAACAAAGTTAAAAGAACATAATATAGGTACATCATAAGATTATCATCAAATTTTATTTTGTAAATTTATTAAAAAATTATGAAATTGTATTGTTTCTTTTTAAATATGATGTTAGAAGAATAATAAAATAAAAATATGTTCTATAGAAAGTATTAGAAAGACAATATATTATTTATTACAGGCTACAATAGGTATAGATTTTTTAAGCAAAACTATGTATCTGGAGGATAGAACTGTAAGATTACAATTATGGGATACTGCAGGTCAAGAACGGTTTAGATCTTTGATACCTAGTTATATCAGAGATTCTACTGTTGCAGTTGTGGTATATGATATTACTAGTAAGTTTAATTAGCAATGAAAACAAAGTGTTAACTATGATATTGCATCAGCTCAAGTGAATTATTTACACAGATGCAAATTCATTTCATCAAACATCAAAATGGATTGATGATGTACGGACTGAAAGAGGAAGTGATGTAATTATTATGTTAGTGGGTAATAAAACAGATTTGGGTGATAAAAGACAAGTATCAATGGAAGAAGGTGAAAGAAAAGCTAAAGAATTAAATGTAATGTTTATTGAAACTAGTGCTAAAGCTGGATATAATGTAAAACAAGTAAGTTTTTTATTCTATTATAGATTTTTATTTTAAAAAATTTTTTTTTATTATTAAATAAAATCATAATGCTTTAATCATATTTTATTTATTGATCAGCTCTTTAGAAGAGTAGCAGCAGCTTTACCAGGCATGGATTCCACTGAAAATAAACCACCTGAAGACAGTATCCTTTGTGTAAGATACATAATATGCACATTTGCATGGTACATATACATAATTATATTTCAGGGATTTTTCTTTCTTCAAATATAGCACTAAAAAACATGTCCTTCATCCTCAATTTTTTTTATTTTTTTAAAATTTTTTTCATAATTTGAATATTATTTATTTTAAAAGATGCTCAACTTTAATCTATTACTATAATCTTATATAAAAATTTTTTTGGTTATTTAATTTTAAAATATTTTATTGAATTCTCAAAAGTTAAATGTTTCATAGAATTTCAAAATTTTTCATAAATATTAATTTTCTAAGAATCATTTTGAATCATTATTTTTGATATCATTTTTTAACATTGTTAACTATTTCATTTTTTTTTTCTGTTATCTTTTTGTGTTTTCCTTAATGTGTTGCTAAACCTGTAGTGCAAGAAGTAGTTCTGAAGGACACACCAATTGAACTGAAATCATCGGAGAGCAGTTGTGCATGTTAAACCACCGATCAGCCTAATGGTAGACAAGACACTGATCTAAGTTAATTTATAAATTAATCTCTTTCAATGCTAGGACAGTGATGATCAGTCCGTGTCCTTTTTACAATTTATAATGTGGAAAGGAACAGCACTGTATCGAAGAGCTATAACGAGTTTTTCGTGAAAAAATAAATATCTCACGATAGCTTAAGCAGACTGCTTTTACACAATAACGTGTTTATACTAGTAAATCATCAAATCATAAATCAATTAATTTAATTAATTTAAACTTTTGTATTTCATCAGAGACGCTTGCTTTTTTTAACGTGTTGATAATAATAATAATCATTATTATAGATAGTGCTTCGATCATTTTCTTAAACGAGAAACAATTTTTCTAAAAATCATTTTATTTGCAACAAATAATTATAATTTTAAGTAATAAAATTTTTTTATGTTTTGCATTTTGATAAAAAAGAAAAAAAAATTTGAATGAAATACTAGTCGTATGCATGATCAGTGCTGCAATTGCATGATATATGGTGCACTTATATATATATATATATATATATATATTTATCGTCATGTATATATAAGTTGCAATATGCGATAAACTAATAGTGTATAGATAAATGGAGTTACGTATTGCGTAAATGCAGTCAAAATAATAGTCAACAATTCGTTATCAGAATGATCTGATTGCAAACGCGAGCAATAAGTCTCTTATACACTTATGAATGCATTTGTGGTGGCATGGATCGATTTAGCATAAAAGAACTCGTACAATATGTACCTGCGAGCGTACTGTAAATGAACGGGAAAAGATTTCAGCGATGCAAAATTAGTAATTAACATTTTATCTTTTAAAAATTTTTTAATAATATTTTACGAATACATTGCTCATGTATAATAGTTTTCTTTAACTTGGAACGATCATTGCATAAATTAGTAAGTTGCATTTCTTATTGAAGTATTATTTATAAATTGAATAATTCATTTATATATACATATATATACAAAAAGAAAAAGAAAAAAAAAAAAAAAAAAGAAAAAAAATTTAAATAGAGCAAATTTTCGAAACTATTGACAAAATTGGATTTGTATATATGAACTTAAAATTTAACTTAAAATTTGGGATATGGATAGACAGAATGCTATTATACCTAATATTATGACATTTTTGTTAATACTTATATTGTAATATTTTAATTTATATAAAAAACATTCAATAGCATTATTTTTTTTTTTTTATTAGTTTTTCTTTTTATGAACCATAATTTTTTCTTATCATACATTTTTCCTTTTTATACATTTTTCCTTGTTTTTTAACCATTGTAAACATATTTTTAGTTTAATAGAATTTCTCAATTAGAATTTATATACAATTTATATTTTATATCATATCGTAAAAATATAATAAGGATGGCACTCGTATAATTTTTAATCAAGGTGCTTTGTAGCTGTAAAATTTCACTGTTATTAATATTAGGGAATGCTCCGTCCCGTTTTTAAAATACTTAAATTTTATATGCTTTTTGAGAATTATAACTTATTCTCGCTTTCAAAAAGAAAAATACATAACCAAGTGACTCAAACTTTAAATGGGACTAAATTCTCAATTAATATTAAGAGTCATAGATCATATATACATTTCAAAAATTTTTTGTAAAAATTACCCGATATTATATAATGATTCACTATGCTGCCTAAAAACAATCAATCATTCGAATCCATCAATATCATTTTTTTAAGATATACGTAACATTTTCTTAAAATTTACACGTATCTATTTGTAAGATTATTATTATATAATTAACATCGACATGCTGGTTCTTTTTTTAAATGAAACTAATAGTTGAATGTTAGCGGCAATTGAATGGTTACTGTGATAACACCTTAACACACGAAAGCAGCTGTCGATTTGCAGAATCAATCACCGATGCAGAACGGCTCCGAGTCCGAGGGGGAGAGTGGCTGCATTTGCTAGGGAGGTGGTTTATCAGTGTGCAGCTAAATAATGCTAACTCCTTGAGACATTCTGATATGAACCAAAAAATCATCACGTACTATTAACAAGATGCTGGCTTCTTCTGATGTCTACATCGTGGCCCATAAGTTAACGCGCGACGAAGGCACAAAAAACGTTTCATTGACACCGTTCTTACTATCGACTACTTCTGCCCCAATCAATCTCATTTAAGTCGTTTAACCGTAGCGTGATTAACCGATCGTTTTGCTATGATTCATGTTAAAAACAGCTTTGTGCGGTTATAGTGCGCGTTGTTACGTTGTTGTAATCCGTCATTTATTCGACCAGAATCTAGCGATCTTTACATTTACATTTTACAGTATGAATCGGGAATTGACGTCGTTCAAAAAAAAAAAAAAAAAAAAAAGAAAAAAAAAGTGGAAAAAAACAAGAAATACACTATCGACCGAATTACATCGATGTAATGGCTACGTCACGATGATAGGGTAGCTGTTCCACGCTCGTTAAAATATCTTTGAACGTGTCGTTAAGCAATACGCAAAAGCTTTTTTGTGAAATTGTACATATCACGAATCTTAATGTTGAGAAAGAAGTTGAAGAAGTCGAAGTGTATACATCGACTTTTTTTTTTTTCTCTCTTTTTTTTTTTTTACTTTTGCCATGATATTTCTTCGAATCTCAACTTTTCGCGACTTTCGAACGGAAGTTGAAGTACCAATTTTTTACGAATAGCGTCGTTTCTTTGCTTATCCTATCATCGTTTCCTGTGATCGCTGTTTTTCGAGGTGAAAATCTTTATTCAACACGCACAAGATACCGACAAGCTTAGACAAGAGTGTTCTAGACACAAAAGATATTCTAGACCTTAACGAAAACGACTGAAAGTAAAAACGTTTTAATAGCCCATCAGTTAGTCGAGGAAATCGAACGATCGAGCGGTCTATTCCTGGGGATATATCTGTTACGAAAAAAATTATTACTTACACGTAGAATATGTTATTGGCGAGTCTGTTCGATGGCGTATTGTTCAAGGTTTATAATATTGTAATCGTAATAACAATCTTTATAGACGTTTTTCAATATCTCTTGATAAATAAACAAGCGACTCGATACGCGATCCGTTCATAAATTGAGGAAGAAGACGCACTAATATGATGAGAATAATTTAGGGGAAAAAGGATGAAAAGTGCTCAATCGTTCACTCGCCATTTTATACGATTATTTCCTATTCAACCATGGAATCATCGTCGTGGTTGTTTAAACGTAGTAAACGCTTAATATTTACAAAATTGTCTTTTACAAAATCATTGACACGATTGATATGATTACTCGCCAACATGCAATCTTTCCAACGAGCAATCACGCCCCAATACGAAACTTGTTGATTGTTTTAGCAAATATATCGTTTAATTCTAAATAAAGGAAGGAAAGAAGGATATTATACAATTAGAAAAGATAAATGGAAGTTGCGTCTTCTTTCTAACGAAACATACACGCAAAAAAAAAAAAAAAAAAAAAAAAACATATATTCACGAATACGGAGGAATCGGAATATAAGAAAAAAAATGTTCGGATCAATTCATGAACCTGTCTCGTTCGTCGCGACATGTAACGAGCGTCGAGCAACGAAACATATTGCTCGTGTTTCATCGAGGAGACTGAATCTGCTTCTAAACTCGCCGCCGTTTAATCAGAATCAGAATAAGACGAAATATATACCGGAGAAAGTTGGAAATAGCGTATCGTGCCAGACATAGAGTGGAGCGCTTTGACGAGAAAAATGTAGCGGCAACTCCTCTGATAAGGGAGGTTTAGTTCTTCTGAAAATTCGTGGGGATGAATTCGTGTCCCGTCAGCGATAATAACGAGCGTGCCATGAGGGGAGTGGGCCAATTTTACACATCCGCTAATTAGAATTTAGAAAAGAGACGAAAGGAAGAAAAAGAAAAAGATAGATAGACTCATCCGCATCCGGGGAAAGCGGAAGGATGAGAAAGCTCCGCTTGCCACGAGGCAAATAAATAAAATCACGGGGCGAGCGCAGCTTTCCCTGGCGTCGTCGTTATACATTGATGTGATAAGGCTTCTATCTCGAGGATACGTTTGAAAAGAGAGAACGAGACGATGGAAGAGATATGTTGAGCGATATGTTGTAATTCATTAATCCGCCGTGCTTAACGCGAGCCTCTACGTGCACTCTAGCACTCCGTTTCTTCTGAACGTAAAAAAAAAAGAAAAAAAAAAAAAAAAACTGTCTCTCTAGCGCAGCCCCTTACGTGTAATTAACGTGTAGCGTTGATTCGCACCGTGTCGTGTAATCGCATCGTGCGAAAATCGGGAAGTATTCTGATACGAATCCAAGAAGAAACCATTGTATTAGAGAGACCAAAGACACACCTCGTTGCGTTCTTATTACTTTCCTTACGTTCGTGAGAACAAATGCTCTGTCTATCTCGCTTGATGGGAAATCTCGATCTCGGTGAGAAATCGGTGATAAAAAAAAAAAAAAAGAAAGAAAGAAAAGAAAAAAAAGATAATGCTGGACGGATTCGTACCATTGGACATCTCGAGTGCACGCGAAGCGTATATTTTTCTTTCGTTCGGACTCGCGTTCCGCGGAGAAGACACTCGGCTGCAGGCTCCTCGACCGGAAACGCGGTCGTAGCTCGATTCGTAGATTAGATTCTTAGAACGTGTAACGTGTATTGGAAGGGAGGATAAATTACGCTGTATTCGTTTTAATCTTTATCGCCTAGCTCGCGATGCTCGCGCCTAAAAAGAGATCGAAAAGGGGAGGGGAGGGGCGGAGGAGGAGCGTCATCGCTCGTCGGAGGCGCGGTGTAATTTGAAAGGAAGCCCTCTCACGTGGCTGCAGCGCGTGTCTACTCCACGACGGCGAAGCGGACGAATCTAGAGATACGCCGATCTAGTCGGAACGACGATCATCGGGAAAGAAAGTCGACGCGGCCGATGATCGTTCAGTGATCCGCGGTGCTTGTTCTTTTCGGGGCACAGGTGAGATTGGTATCCTTTCGGTTGCGGTTCCACCCTTTCGCCACGCAAGAGTATTTCTTCGCTCCAACCAAAAATTTAGCGTCGTCGATTTGGGATTATCTGTGATTGACAATGTGGATTTAATACGCGAAATATACGTGTTCTCGTATATAGGAGATATATAAATTCTTTGGTTAAACGTTTCATTCGAGGTTCTTAAGACGTGACGTTTTTCACGAAGAAGATGAAGATGTAATGTAGATGAGGAAAATGTTCAAATTCGATTTTATTGACTTCTTAACGAAGTATAGAGAAAGATAGGAAATACTCGGTTTCTAAGGTGATTGCTCCTCGTTGCGAAAGGGTCGATTGGAGATTTGATAATCTAGTAGCGAAAAATGATTTGTAGCGTCTCGGAGGATTCTTGTGAATGTAATTTGCAAGGCAGCCGCGTTCTGTGGTAATGTTATTGTAGCCGATGTTTCTTAGTTAAATAGAAGTATTCGCTGTATCGTCTTTTTGCAATTAAATTGTCAAACTTAACGTAGCAGTAGGGTGCGATATTAATTGTAAAGTTAACCCTTCCAGTCTTCGATGTTGTCGGGATTATTTTCAACGAATTTCTTCTCTCGATGTAATGGATACACGTGCAAATCGATTTCTTTCCAATCTTCGACGTGAAACAAACAAAAAAAAAAAAAAAAAAAAAAACGAAACGAAACGAAAATTGCCATTTTCTCGTACATTCAATTCGATTTTGTATTTCCGATAATGATAATTTGATATTTTTATTCTTCATCATATTTCGTTGTACTTTCTCGATTCCGCTTGGACTCGAAACGAATGATAAAAACCGAGGCTCGAAGGGTTAAACGTCTCAAGGCTTTAAGTTTCTCCGAATATATTTAATATAAAATAGAAACTAATGTACGCTTTTGTTTAACGTGATAAAACGAGATCTTGCAAAAATATAATTGAAAATAAATACTATTAGAGATCCTTGATTCATTCGAGATCGACGATAAGGGAATTGATCGACGATCGAGAACCGCTCCCTCGCGTTTTGTACCTGTTATTATTATTCACACGTGATGAACGTCCCGACTAGACCGGAATTTTAAAGTGCATTTAATACGACTAATTACACGATCCGTATTGACACACACCACTCACTGCTTATATAATATAACTATTATCGAGATTGGACTCGTTCGAAGTGGCGAAGGAAATGGAGTAATACCGTGAAATAAAAATTCGGATCATTTATTGTTTCCCCGTTTGACGTAGCGCAATAACGAAGTATTAACTAACTCGTAGTGGATCGTAATATTTCTCATTTAGCTTTGGAGGCTACGTAGATGTAGCGATCGCCATACACATACACACGTACAAACACACCGATTGTATCGCATTTATTAATTATTATATGGGACGCGCCTCGTCATTTTTATGATCCACGCGTTTGTTCGTGGCTACGCACAACGAACCGAGAACGGAGAGAAAAATGTGATAAAAGAAGGATGCGTTTGTTTCGTAATTCGGCTCGATATCGAAGATGTCATGTTAAAACACTGTGGCACGCTTCGCTTAAGAATTCGTTACACACTTTCTGTTCAATTAGTTATGAAAAAAAAAAAAAAAGAAAAAAAGATATGCCTTCATTATCGATTCTTATTTTTCTCGATAATATAACGATAATAACAATTAAACATCTCGTGTATCATCCCTTCCGAAACCGCACACGTTTCACTTTGTTTCTACCGAACGCATAACGTCTAATTATCTTCCATTCCTTCACATTCTTTCGTTATCGTATCGGGTTTAAATGTTTGTAAATTCGTACCAAGCCGCACGAATTTCTAACGGTTCATCGTGACGATATTCTTCCCGAGATATATATATATATATATATGTGTGTGTGTGTGTATACAATTCGACCTGAGTAACAGCGTGATTTAATCACACAGGTAACAGCACGGCAATCGGACGATTCCATCGTGGCGTTATAGCCGTGTTATCTTCCCAGTCCTATTAGGAGGCTCCTCGAAAACAGACGTTCCGTATCTACAGCGCGTTCGACTGTAATTCGTCACACAATGGATCGTGATGGATCCTCCCGGAGGCTGGACAGTCACTGTTTAATCCAATTACAATGGTGCCGTAACTCGATTGAACCGCTAGTGTAAACGAATACTGCCACGATACTTGTACTTAGCCGTGTTATACTTCCCGATACGATGTTTGCTAGCCCGCATCCGGCCGACCTCGGGACGTGGTAAGCGTGTGGATCCACGCTATCATCCGCATTGTATATCGAACATCGAACGGGTATGGAGTCCCGGTGCCGAAGCTCAATCCCAATTCTCGAAGTTTCGAGATTCGAAAGAGTTCTCGGGCAATCGGAACTTCGAGAAATAAAATCGAACGAGCCGTTACCGAAGTTTCGATTCAACGGGGCCAGCTAACCGGAAAGTTGGGTAAAAAACGCGAGGAGCGGGCATCGATTGTTTAATTTCTCTTTCTCTTTCTCTCTTTCCACCTTTTCGTTTTTCCACTCGTACTTGTGTTCCTCGTTTCTCTCTCTTTCTCTCTCTTTCTCTTAAATTTAATTTAATTTCAATCAGAATGAGAATATAATCGGTCCAACTTAGAACCAACTTTTCGTTTCGCCGGAGAACTTTTTCCGTGAGCGTGAACGTGAACGTGTTGGTGAGCGAAGAGCGAATAATTAGGTAAGTCTAAAATATCCGATTCGAAACGAAGTTGTAAGAAACCTTGGAGAAAGAAAAGAAGAGGAAAGATACGTTTTAATTCGATCAATAAGCGAGAAATTTTGATCAAAGTGTGAAAATTTGGATTGCAGAGGAATCGAAAGAAAGATGTAATGAGTCTCAATTTCAATTGAGACGAAAAATCGATTTTTGCATTGAAGTAGAATCGACAGAATTTTGATTGAAGTTTTATTGTTTCAAGATACGAAGATAGGAACAGCGATAAAGAACAGTTGTTAATTTGGAATTTAAAGCAAAGCAAGAATATCGAGATGAATAACATTCAGATTCGAACGAATTTTGTTCGAATCGAATTTAATAAAAGCAATAATAACGATGTTTAATTATCTGAAAATTTAAACGAGAGATTTTATCGATATTTATATTATATAGTGATTATAGCGAAAAGAGAGAAAAAAGAGAGAAAAATTTACCATTTTTTCCAGATTTATTAATTCGTTCTCTCTCATTCAATGTATTCAATATATTTATGGAATTTCTATTCAACGAGAACAATCAAGAACGTATCGCGAAAAGTCTTTTGTATATTGTGTACGTTATAAAGGCACGCTCTCGTCACGGTTCGAAACGAGCTTTTACGAGATTTTTTGCAAACGTGTCATAATTGTTGGTTTGCACAATTCAACTAGTGGAGCTTCAAACGAAACGAATCAATAAAGATTTGCGTTCACGAGCCCATTCATTTTCGATTCATTTCATCAAAACGTATCGAGATTGAAATATTTTTTCGGATTATTCGATACTTCCTTCCCTACCGTGCGTGCGCTGGATTATTTGTCATCACCAGTGAAATAGTTAAAAATGGAGGGAAAAATCTCGTCGATTCGTGTTTGCGTAATTGATCGGATATCCATATTGATATTCGAGATTGATAATTAGCGTCCAAATAGTTTTTCATTTATTTGTTTGGTTACGTGACAGAGTGACCCTCCTCCCCCTCCCCATTGAAATTCCCGGCCAAACCTTCTATGTCTTTTAGTTATTTCAAATATGTCGCGTATTTTGCCTTTATCGTTCGAATTTTATAAACGGAATTTGATGAAATATTCGTTCGTGGTGAAACGTTTTCGATTCATTTTTGCGAATTCACTTTTTTTTTTTTTTTTTTTTTATTCGAAAAACGTACCGATTCATTATTATTTGTATTTCACGATTATTCGTCAATTCTTTTGAACGTGCACGGATTAATTCATATTTTTCATATTCATTCGCACGAAAGAAGAATATAATCGGAACGATTTATTATCAGGAAAAAAAAAAAATAATCGAGTTGAAGGAAAACATTCGTAAATTCTGTAGCTAATAGTAATTGTTTACACAGTTTATTGTAATGTCAATTATATACAAATTTAAAATTACGTCCACAGTGCTTCTACGCTGACACACCATCTCCTTACTCGACACAAGTGCAATTACAATCGGATTTCTCCTTTTTTTTTCGTCGTTTCAAACACCAGCAAAAAAAATTTTCGCCACAAACGACTCGATGAATCACTAAAGTTTAATTATTCATTATTATTTACAGTCTAAACCCATCCTGTTCTCATACGGTACGTCCAAGTGCTTCTTAGAACGTTTTTAAAAAAAAAAAAAAAAAAAAAAAAAAAGAAAAGAAAATGGAGTTAAAAACGACACATTTCCTCATTTTATTTCTGTTCGAACCGCGACTGTACACACTTTTTTCGAAACGATCAAAGCATTCGCATTTCGTATTGACTCGCGTCTCAATTGTTTTTTTTCTTTGGCAGTATGTTGTTGCGTAGTTTTAACGACGAATCGAGTGAGGTGATCGCGAAAGATTTCTTCAATCTTTATTTTTTTCCATTTTCGGTTCGGTAAAAAAAGGCTTTACGGCGCCGTGTTCAATTCGAGATCTCAGTTGCATCGTGTCATCGTGGCCCTTTATCTTCCTTCCTTTCTTCTCCCCTTTTCTTTTTTTTTAACTCTTGTATGTTCCTTTATTGAGCATCTAGGCCGATCGACACTACTTCCAGCTCCTTGAATTTCGCCACACGAGCTCATTTCCCGTGGCAGTGACAGAGCGTAGACGATCGATTCGAGAGGCTCTGCTTCTTTCTCTCCCGAGAAGGTACCTCGACTAATTTAACAAAATAAGAATGGAAGTCCGGTGGACAGCTGGAAGTGCCGTCGATGATGCAAGCGGATCTTACTCGAAGTTCTAACGCTTCTAACGGAGGAATGAATCGAACGCACGAGCCATTGGGCCGAGTGGGAATCCGGAATTCGATGGAAATACGAAGACGAGAGAACTTCGTCCTCGAAAGAATAGATCTATGAAACAACAACATTGGCCCGGACTCGTACGCGGATTCTTTCCATCGAGGGTGCAAATGTTGGAAACGGAATGCATATTTCATCGCATCGGTCGTAATTAGATATCGTTGATCGGTTGAACAGAATAAATTCGATGAAGTTCAATTCCTTGATCGGAAAGAAGGAAGAAATTCTTTGGAATATATAAATAATAGTTACAAAAAGAGGCTGATTCGAGAAATAATCGTTTTGAAAGGTCGATGATCGGCGGGAAACGATTCTCGATTGTTTCCTCGAGGATCGAAAGATTTCTACTTAAGGTATCGTTATTACAATATCGAAGACTATGCGATTTTTCGGCAGTTGGTCGTACGTGTTCCTCTCCTCTTTGTCTCACGGAATAGAAGTAGAAAAGGATAACGGGTCAGACGCTTTCACACGTGTCTCTCTCTCTCTATTATACACTCGCGAGATTTTAGATTTTAGTCGTGAACGATTTCATCGAAAGGATTCGGATCGGTCGATCGCCAACGAACACCATCGAACGTACGTTCCTGAAGACTCGAGAAGAATCTTGGAGAAGATACTCGATTTCCATGTCCGTTCGTCCCTGTTCCTCGCGCGAGAATCATCATAGAAATCCCAAAGTATCCCAGAAGTATTCGCGGCGAATGTATTTTCGATGTATTTATTCTTCCTTCTCCGTAAACTCCGTTAACTTCACGACAAGGCTCCTTCGAATAACAAGCTTTTCTTCAAACGCCAACGATCACATTCAACCCCTTCGAATCCACGAGCAAACGGTGCATCTGAAAATGCAAGGAGCACCTCGTTGGAAACCGATCCGAAACTTGACGCGAATCGTGAATCGTTCGTAAGAGTTGAGCCGCACTCACGAGGTGCTCGTGGAGTCAAACCCTCAACTCGTCCATCACCTG